TCGGTCTACCGCTGTTCTACCCGTAGCGACTGCAGTCTGGCAGACACATGTTGGCTTAGTTCACCTTAAACTTTAAGCATTTCAGAACGGATTTCATGGATTCCAGCAACTCTGCTACGTTTTAAGGTTTTTACGACTTGTGCAACTTTATCTACTAATATTTGTTGCCCTTTTGCTCTCCAGGCGAGTCTTCCTGCGGCTGCTCGGCGTAAATGAGTTTACCAAAGACTCTCTCCACCCATCGCCATAGTATGTCCTCATTCTTGGTAAGAGGGTGTCCAGAATTGTTATTCAGGAATGCTTTTTATTCCATGACGGAGACGGTGGATAGTCGGCCAGAATACAGTTTGCCGTCTGGAAACTCGACTTCAGAGCACCTTCTTGTTACTCTAGAAATTACTTGTATTCTCCCTCCGAACTGGGCGCACACACCTGTAACAAGGTCAAAGCTTTAGTCTGTTATAACTTCAGTCACTCTTCCGCTGATATGCTTCAAATATTCTATTCACCAGGTTTGGTTCTACGAAAACACCAACACCGACCTGCGAGCGGCTTTTTAAATCGATACCTGCGTGGAACCGCCTACAAAGGTACACAGTTCTATAGCCTTGGCGCTGCTTTAAGGAGAATCCAAGTCGAGTCGTACCTTGCGCTTTCACCAACCAGTTCCTGCTCTGGATGAGGCTATGTTCCAATTTCCGACTGTAATCTCACACTGTCAGTAACGTTTCCTTGCACAAGCTAATAAAGTAACAATAAAAAACGCATGCGTACGCATCAACTTCAGCGGTTAAGATTAAGAAGTAAAACGCTTTACACTTAATATTCAAATGGCAACAATACTGTAGATTCCGATTAGAACGTATGATTAAGATATTCGAACAATATTCATTACGATTTTCAGCTGCAGAAAGAATAGACATAATATAAAGCCCGTTCATCCTTCATAAGTCACTTATAATTATACCAATTCTCATAATTGTAACCTATTACAGTAACCATACTTTGATCATGAAGAGTTATTCGATTAAACCACTACGCAATTTACCGAAGTTCATACCGATGGCTTTCTTCCGCCTGTATGACAAAGGCGAGGGTGTTAAAACCGACATATACACGGCATTTTCATTCCCATTGCATGTAAATAGTGTCAGAAATAAGAAGTTGTAAGCGATATGCTTTACCCATCAGTTTCCTGCTGGTTTTAAGTCACTGCATCTTTCAAGTTAACTTTGCTTCGTGCAAAAACTTCTTCCAATATAAAGGGCTACCTTTGAGAACTTAGTTAGTCGCGAACTTGGCACTAGACTGTGAATTTGCACATCAATCGCCCGAATAAAGTTTCGATGCTTTTGCCTTATGCACGCTATTCTACTATATGACTAATCCATATACGCTTCGAATAAGGTCGTTGTTTAATGTACATTAACTTCACGCGAGCAACGCGTGACCGATATGCAAGCTTCAGCATATACATGGATATGAATTTGATTAAATAACTTTTTTTACATAGATAATACAAAGTAAAATTCAATCAGGTTTGAGAATCCCTTTTGAAG